TGACCTGCGATTCCTCAGAAATGGCCACGGTACGCGGGGAACTTAGGTTTTCAGTACCTGGAGGTATTACCAGGTCCGGAATCGTTGGGGACGCAGTGGTCGTCTGGTGCAGCGTCGCGATTGCCGCACCTTGGTCGTGGTCGGTTACCGCAGCTCGCGTTGACGAATCGTCGCACTTGTTTTTAGATGGCGTTCCTGGTTTAAGTGGAGGGAAAACCTTGGATGCCGCCTCGAAATACGATGGCCTGATGGTACAGGCCACGGTGGCTTGCGGGTCCCCGCAACGGTGACATGGCAGTGAGCAGCCTTTCCCGTCGTGGCCATAAACGCCGCACCTTCCACAAAACGGACCTGTGCAGTTCATGCGGAAGTGCCCACTGTCTCCACATCGACGGCACTCTCGCTGGATGCCTTTATAGTCACAGGTTACTCGATGGCCCGTGACCTTGAGGTAGTTGGGCACCGGTGACGAAGCCTTCATTTCCATGCGGACGTATCGCGTCCCAGTGGTCACGCTTGGGCGCGATCCCATGAGTCCTCTGGTGATGTGCAGAACCTTCCCGTAGGGAGAGAGTGCTTGTGCGAGGACTTCGCTGGGTACGCGGCCCGGCAGAAACAGGACAGTCACTTGGGTCACTTGGGGCCCAAGGGGTACGATGGCTGGCAACGCGCTCTCCTCGGAGGATAAGGTGCGACGCGTCTACGATTTGGGCCAGTGCGGCCTTACTGTTGACGGTAACTTGGTAGTTGCGGCCTCCAAAGTGCTGAACGCACTACACTTCTTCGATTCCTACTATTGAAGACGTCGCGTCAATGACGTCTTCGGGACTAGTCCCCTCGGGGACGACTACGTCGAAGGCTAGCACCTTGTTCGGGGGCTGGCTTGCCATTACGGGCGTTCGCCAGCCCAGGGACGCCCTGAGACGCCAACAACGACAACGAGGGAACACGAGCCGACTTCTCTCGTAACGGTATCTTAAACGGCACCAAAGTGGCCAAACGATACTCCAAATGGCCAACACCATCTGCAGCACCCACCAATATTACTCAAGATTAAGCGGTCATAGTTGTGCGAATGTAAATCAAAAAAATTATTGTGCATACCTGTTGCACGATAACAACACGTCAATATTCTGTATGTGTGTCTCTTAGTAGAAACGGCATACATACGTAATTCTAAGGACCGTAGCATTTGTCACGTTGCGCTAACCATGCGGCGCTTGCACGAAAAGGAAAATGTTTCCAACGCTATGCTTAGACGACACGCTGGTGGCACCTACCCGTCATCTAGCGTTCTGCCTCTAACTACCTCCCAGACGGGCGTGCAGGGCACACGCGCTTTGCTTTCCAAGATAACTGCCAAATAGCGCTCATGTCTCACGCGTGACGCGACTTGATGCGCTCGTTCGCCTCCGCTGCACGCTCGAGGCACTCTAACGCAGCGCCTCCAGAATACCATTCACCGATTTTCTTGCACAGAACATCAAATAAAAAATTCGTACACTCTCTTCAGACGCAAGACTATCGTCTTTCGACGACGTTTGCAGTGTAACATAAAAGCACGCAGCCATTTTTTTTTCGGGAATCAGGGAGGTGCCACCGTAGGCGTGGTTACGTGGACTTCCTTACTACAGGCAGCTTCCGGATACAATGCTTTCAATAGTTTATTCTCTATCTACCTCTGCGCAGAGGGAGCACACACAGGTCGTTGTGTACGACCGTGTGCTGCGCTGACCTTAAGACCTTCGTCGACAGAGTTTTGGACAAAGGCGCTTATGTGTGACAGGGGGGACCGTACAGCAAAACAGGGGAGGGGTGAGTCGGAGCTGAGCTCCCAGTTGACAGAAGCATCGCGCTAGCGTTATTACACATCACTATATGGAGAAGCATTTCTTTATCGTGCACTCATAACATCTAGCGCGCCTCCACGGCGCGGTATAAGCCCCCTGACGTGGTCGAACTTCTCCCAATCTTGACTGCTTTTCCAGACGGTTGCGTGTTGCAGTGGTTCGTGCGAGTGCTGAAGGAGGCGGATCAGATGCGTCCTATTTTCATTCTTCTCTCATATTCGCCCTTCTATGCATTTTATTTCATTTATCACATACCTGCACCGACCTGTTGAGTAGTCCTCTTAAGGATAAACCGTTACGGGTGTCGATTTTCTCTTTTTTCTTATAAAAATCAGTTCGAGAGAGAAAACATGCCTCCTGGTCGGCAACCGGTGACAGAAACCAGCACACAGGCGTGAAGGGTGTGAACACAGCAGATGGCTGAGGACAGTAGCTGGGGAGCCACCAAGAGCGAAAAAATATCACAAGGTGAAAAGAGGGCGCGGAGCGGGTGGGGGGGGGGGGGAGGGCGTGCTGCCATTGTATATTTTCAGTACGGTGGTTAGGCAAAAATATAGACACACTTCAGCGGAGCGCAGCGATTATAAGAAAAACTTGGAGTAGGCGCGTTGCTTATAAATGTATTGTGCTTGTAAGAAGCCAAGCCATTTGAAAAATGCTCGTTTATTGTTAAATTCAAGACTCTCATTCATAAATGTTTTTGAAGTTTGAAAAACAGGACTTGAATTTCCTTTTTTTATAGAATACGTAATTCCATTCCCCATTCCAGCTAAAATATGCTTAATTTTATTCCCATTCCATTCCTTTATGCTTTGCCGTCAATCTATTACAATCCAGAGTCGCGAAAAGGTGGAATGATTCCGGAATCATCCCGATTCTGGAATGACAACTCCGTGACACTGGTTTTAACCAGTGCTGTGACGAGATGTCCGTCTAGGAGAACGCCAAGATTGGCACGTATACAACTTCATCGGCATTAGTATTCGTCGTCGTACATATCTTCTTGTGGTGGTAGGGGGAACATTTATGTGTCTCTACGATAGGCAACCTTACCCCCGGAGGTCACAGCAGCTGTTTTCTCTGGCGGCGCGGGCTAGTCGACCTTTGGTCGACTAGCTCTTCGGTGACGCCCACGTAGCTCTGATCGTTTGGGAAAGTCTGACGCCCAGATCACGGAGACCGCCAGAGACGCGGTGCAGTTGCTTGGTCAGTCGACAGTTGATCGACGTCCAGAGCGCGACCATCTTCAAAGCGGAAAGAAGCGGGAATAGAAAAGTTGCCGAACCTCGAATCACCATGGTGGCAATAGCGGGCAATGTGACCTGGTTCCCGGCAGCGGAAGCAAATAAGTCGACGGCTGGCCATACGCTATATCTTCGTTCGGCAAACTGGTGGTCATCTTACAAAATCTAGTTCGGACCAAGGAAGGGCAGCGGGTCATGGATGGAAAGGCGTCGCCTCAAATGACAGTGGAGGACGACAGAACACATCAGCACAGCTCAATGGATATAGCTCACAACTTGGCGCGGGTGGTGAAAAGCTTGCTTCAACTCCTGGCGGGCAATTTCGGTGAAATATGCGACATGTTTGGGTAGGAGGAACACAGAGGACCTGAAGTTTGTCACGGATTATTTTCTTGCTAATTTGTCGCAGGCAATTTTCGCAGACGGCAGTGTTCTGAGCTGTGGCACTTGCTGCCGTGCGTTTCGGCAGGCGGTCAAAAGGCCGGCATCATTCTTGCAGGGCGCACTCGATGACTCGCTCGCCTCTATTAGGAATTCATCTACTTTTGTAGGCGGATTTCGTACAAGTACAGTGAACACTGGTTCCTTGACGCCACCATTAGGTGACACACCTTTTCCGCCTCGAGCTTGTCAGGATCAGATTGTCAAAACAGATGGATCATATCCTGTGCGTACATGCGGCCGTTCTCTTGGGATTTTGCACGTGTGACTTAATCAGTTGCTGCCCATGATCCTGTCGGTCTGATTTCAAAAATGTATGAAGGATCTTTCGACAGAAATATACCCAAGTATGAAAGGTAGCCTCATGGTTCTCCTACCACGTGTGAGTGCTATTTAACAATGCGAAATATGCACGGCAAAGCTTCTGTTGTTCGCTCCAGTTATTGGATACAGTGACGCGCTCGAACTGTTCGAGCCAATCCTTGACATCCGCATAATTTTCCCTACGAAAAATTTCAGGAACGCGAGGATGTTCAAGATTCACCTGGAAGGATAGAGGTGTGTGCGATTGAAGGACAACTGTGGATGTGGTAAGAGCTGTCATGCTGGTAAAAGACAGAACACGTGCGGACTCCAGATTCAGGCGCGGTAGGCGCCGACTCAATAGGTGCACTGGAGTGGTAACGAGGATTGAGGCTCTGGACTAAGTTAAATGGTCCGAGCAAGGCTGTCCTGCATCACGTTGTAGGCTCCATCATCTCCACTAGAGAGACGACGTGAAATTGCGCAAGCGAGTGTTTCTTCTTCGTTCTTTGCATAGCCCTTCATGGCGCATTCACAACTACTAACGCCTTTCTTCCCACAAGCACGTGATAATATATGTAGATAGATACATAGCACTAATAGTCACACGGTCATGCCGACTAGTATATATTTAGTTTAGATGCATATCTAGTTTATTTTTGTGAATTGCCTCTATGGCGCGACAAACCTTGTCTTTATAATTTACTGACACCTGGACCGCATACGACAATGTGAAACTGTAGCACCAGCACTTTTTCATAAAGCATGCAGCTTGCCAAAAGTGGCATTCTCGGTTATTAAATTGTGCAGTGCAGCCGACTTATAGTCGCGTAGAACTTTTGAAGGCACCGGCGTTTTGGCTAATGCTATTGCTAGGCGCTATTGGCTGCACGGTGTAATAAAAAAGGAAAACTTATTTTTCTAACTCTAGGTTCTCACGGGTGAAACGCCGTTATAGACGCTATGCAATGCATTCAAAATTACTCACGAATGCCTTCGGGGAGGTGGGGGCATTTTTTTTTTCATTGGGGCTATTTCTTTAGTCACGAAGCGAATTGGCTGCTGCGCTTAAGTCATCTGGGCGGTGCTTCTCCTGTGTTCTAAAGCTGTTCCCGACTATAGACGTCGCAAAAACAGAGGAATGTATATTCCGGTTTTGCAGGAGACATCGTGTACTATGACGAGAGTGGCCGCTTCTACTTCGTGGACCGCATGAAAGACATGATCAAGTGCCTCGACCAGCAGGTTTCTTCCACCGAGCTCGAGTCACTGTTACAGAGTCACGAGTGCGTCGCTGACGCGGCGGTGGTAGCCATACCACGCACAGAATACGGAGACGCGCCGGCTGCTTTTGTAGTGCTGAAAAATCCGACCACCGCTTCAGCGGAAACAGCCAGCGAGCTGAAGGCGTACGTCGCAAGTAAGTGCTTGTATGGTCCAATGAATGCAGCTAAGGCTGCAATAGATCACGTTACAGGGCTGCTAGAGTTTTTCATGGGTATCGGAAGGGCTCTTCATCAGTTTTGCATTGTGCGGATACAGTGCTCTTTGTTTACAGACCAAATCGAGAATGAATATTTCAGACTTCACTTATTTCGTTATGGCATTTTTCTAAACATTTATCCTACATTAAAGCTGTTTGCGGGAAATTATTGGTGAAGAAAAAATTCTATGAAACGTGCTGCTTTTTGACGTGCAACGTCGAAAAAAAAAAAGATCAAGTGAGAAAAGAAAAAAGAAGAACCTCGACATTCTGCAAAAGGAGAACCTGAGTTCGGCCTGTACTGGGTGCTCACAGTTAGACGTCTTGAGCACACAAAAAAGACGAAAAGAGAAAGAGGTACAGCAATCTCTTTTCCGGGGGCTTAAAGGAAAAAAAGTGTCGACTATGTAAGCTTTACAATTTTCAGTGATGTCAACCTAAATATAGTACTTAACTCATAAATAACTCTTCACTAGGCTTTTGAGCGGATGTAATGGCACATCTGAGCATGTCATAACACACTACATATTATGCTTCGTCTTTCACATGCTTGCTAAGACTCGTTGCTTGGCTAGTTGGTTGGGGTTCATCATTTATAAGGGTATAACGCACCATAACAACGACACAAAAAGAGAAACGCACACACACACAGTGCTAACTTAGAACTATTGTTTTATTTGCGCTCACACATGCTATATATACAGTAACAGTGGACTGATAATGCTTAATAAAACAAGTTGAATGCCTAGCAGTCGTGTCGTCGTACCTTCCTGTGCCCTCGCCTTTTTTACTAACCAATAAAGATGACGGATACTCCATAGAATCGCATACAAGTAGGTTTACCGGGCTTAAAAGTAACTTCAAGGCGGCGTTGTAAGGAGCGCGCGTGGAATTGTAAGGTGCTAGGCTTTTGGGCTTCAATGTTAACGTGCGAACAGCGGCAGCAGTATTATGAAGACACTTTATTTTTTATAGATAGGCCATATATACACGTTTTCTATGCAATATTCTGCATCAAACAATGCGATATCTCCACCAAAATAAGCGACAGAAATGACCCTAGCTTTGATCACTGCCTTTTTTTCGTGTTTTGAAAGTGCAGCACGTTAAGGGGTCATTAGGGGTGATGGCTGGCGCTCCAAGTGAATTCACACTACATTCTTATTCGTCGGTACGTGGCACTGCCCTAATTCTTAGGGTGTGGAGATTGCGCTGATGCCTCTTGAACGGCCAGATTAAAATTCGTCAATTCTTTTTGGAAGCTGAGGAACTATTTCGCCCTTATTAAGCTGGTATACTATTTCACTGTCGTTTTTCGCTCTATATCATCCTTACTGATATATACTTAGTTGTTACCAGGTTATAAGAAACTCATTTATAATGGTCTTGTAGTCAACTATGCAATAAGGCATTCAGTAAGGTAAAAAGAAAAAGAAATATACAAACCACGAAGCGTTAAACCTGAAAAACTTCACAGATATAATGCCACTACAGCGGAAGCTAATCAGACTCTTATCAAACACACGTGGACCTTTGCGCCTTCGTGAAAATTCACACATACGCCCAACAGTAGGGATGCAGACTTACCATGTTCTGTAGCGCGCAGTGATTATAAGAACCCTAGCCTCCGACGGAGAGATTGGATAGGAGTTATCCGGTTCTTGGGGGAAAGAAAAGTAGTAAAAACAGACTGTAAGAAACAAAGATGAGCCGCAAGGGGCTATTGAATTTAGAAAGCTTATAGCGAAAACTGCCGGTAACAATAAATTCACGTTATTACTAAACCTCTCACCTACCTCTCACGCTCTTGTACGTGAGGATCATAGCAAATGAGCCATAAATGCCTTGGCGGCGCAAAGAGTGGTGCCATTGTGAACTTCGATTTAGCCACGTAGCATAGTGAGCAGCCAATCATTGCCGGCGCAGCTGCGCAAGCAGGTGCTTGGTGAGTGGCGTCACCACAGACATGAGCAAATGGAGGGAGGGGGCGATGTTCATCTCCTTTTTCGCCTGGCTGTGTGAGACTTTGCAGTGCCCTGGAAGAAGGGTACCAGCAGATTGAGCCAATGCCGGGTTATTGGATCTTCAAGGCTCCCCCGCAGAGGCAACACACCCGTTCAGCCCTACTTGAAACAGGCTAGGCGTGTTCCCTTGGAATGTTCCAGCCAGGGGAAATCGGCTGTAGCCTTTGATCTATATCCGCCTTATTTTCGTCCTTTTCAATACTTTTGACTTTACTGTCCTTTGCTCTTTCCAAGCTAGTTCCATTATTCGTGGCGGCAAATCTAGATCTTGTGTGGCCATCTTACCTACGGTAAACCAAATTTGATTATATTGACCATGTACAGTTGACGTTCGAATCTCTGTCGCGTCTCGCAGCGTTCCATGCAATGATGGCCTGGGTGGTGGGTGGTTGACTGGGTTGTTAATTACACCCCTCAGTTCATGGATATATCGAACGCTTTCTCACTTGATGCCCCCGAAAAGCAGGGGCTAACCAATGCACTCAGTTTCTTACAAAACAGAAAAAATAACTTTTCAAAGCAGCACGTCATTCACTAGAGAAACACGGTTAAGAAAGCAACTGACATCTAGCCATTCATTCTTGGTGTCCAGATGCATCACAGAAAAAAATAGGTATTGCTTACAAGGTCACAAAAATGGCAAGTGGAGATATAATATATGTAGCCAAGCATAAGTTCCCGAGCGAAAAGCTTCCCGACCTTTTTGCAGCTGGAGTTTGCACTATCTCGGATACACTCCACAGAGCCATGAACACCTTCAAAGGTGTAGTCTCTGACGATAACCTCTTGCACCTAGCCGAAGAAGTTTTCTTGGATATGTGGAAGAGCGAAATAGTGATAAATGGTAAACTTGTGAGAATCAAGCGCATTGACAAAGAACTTGCTACAGGAAACGCTCTACTCACATTCGCCCCCATTGCACATCGCGAAACAAATGCAACAGGTTATCATAAGTTAAGTGAGCGGAATATATCCCGAGCCCACGGTGCTATTACAGAAATGCCAGAGATTCGGCTATGGTTCCCAATTACCGTGGCCAATTCACGTGTCCAAAGTGCGCCACTGCTGGACTCTCCAGAGACCCTGAACCGCAAGGTGGAGGCTGAGGCCCACTGCGGGAACTGCGATAGTGTTCACCCCTCCTAGTGTCGAACGTGTGCAACATAGAAAAAGAAAAAAAATTAAATATCGACAATCAAAGTAACAGAAAGCATAACTTTACAAGAAGCTTGTCATTAAGCCTCAAAATATAACGCAAACAAGCAACTGTTTACAAATGTAGTGCAACAAGGGCACTACGATGACCTCAGGCAGCCACCAATGCCAGGCACAGTATGGCGTGGCACCTGCCATTGCCTCCTCCCCACCGCCACGCTGGGAGCAGTTGGGATGGTCGACTAAAATTTTTGTTCTAATATTCTTTCATAGTTCATAAATTTAGCCATTACTCTATTGATTGGTTTCGACGTGAACTTTCAATCGATTATTCGACATTTTCGCGGGTTGCTCTAAAACCGGTATCTCATCGTTGAAAAATAATTTTTATTTTACCTTGTCCGAAGCCTATCGGACACCCTTGGCGTCATCCATTGGCACATTTGGAGCACTTCGGGTAATGCTTTTTTCTGCTTCATGCGGGGCAAGTCTACTCCATTGGCAGATTGAGAGTGTTCCCTGTATATCCCATTGACAGATCTGGAGTAGCTCTATAGCTAGATCGACTCCATGGAGCAACTTATTGTACTACGCCAAAACCGGTCGACTCGACCGGAAATGTCTTGAAATGGTGCCGAATTTTGGCGCGCTAACGAACGCCGGTCGCGTCAGTTACGCCTAGCATTGGAGCTCACCTTTCGCTAGCGTAGAATCGCTGTGTCCAGCATGCCCACTCATACAAGAAAAGATTGATTGATCGACTGATTGATTAATTGATTGATTCATTGATTGATATACGTGTTTTACCATGCAAAAACCACCATATGATTATAAGAGACGCCATAGCGTAGGGATCCGGAATTTCCGACCACCCGGGGCTCTTCAACCTGCACCCAAATCTGAGCACACAGGTCTACAGCATTTTCGCTTCAATTAAAATGCAGTCGCCACAACCGGGATTCGATCCTGTGACCTGTGGGTTAGCAGTCGAGTACCTTAGCCACTAGAACACCGCGGCGAGGCATGCAAGAAGAGAGACGCGCGCATCACGTTCAATTCTGACCCTTCTATTTGCTTAAGAGAGAGTGCGTGTCTTCGATTGGCATATTTCTTTCTGTTTCCCTGCGCCAGAGTGAAGTGCTCTGGCACAGACTTCGTAGGCTACACCGAATCTGCCAATCGATGACACCACCAGAGAACACATGTGCACAATTGCGCCTTCATGGAAATCTGCACTTAAGCCTTATGAACGCAAGGCAATTGTCGTCTTTGGATTATGTCATAGATTCAGGAATATTTCCCCATCTCCCAAGGATCATTAGGAAGCAGTTAGTATTTCATCAAAACCGGCCCACTCGACCGCATCCAAACCAGAAGCGCTTGCGAGGACTACTCTGGTAAAAAGGACGCACTGGAAACATGCACTGATGTCGAGGGTAGAGAAATCCCGCGAGAGACGCAGCAGTGAGGAGGCGAAGAGGAAGAGAATAAGCCTGTAACACTCTGGGAAGGGAGAGGGGCAAGCTTTCTGCGTTTGTCTGTTAGATATTGCCGAAGTCATAAATAACACTACAAAGCTGTACTGACGTAATCTCTAGCTTCAGATACATAGCTTAGAACAGGCCATAGGAACAGACATCTGCGAAAAGTAGAATAACATGAGTTTTTCCCCCTTCCCCCAATAAATAAAATGATCAGCCATCGTGCTATACTTTCAGATATTTCATCTCGTCGTTGCCCTAACTCGGTGCATCACGC